ATCATTTGTGATTTTCTTATGGATCTTGGAGGAAAAGCATGATAGCAGGGCAGAGATTCAGTTCTGATACCGAAACATGAAATTGCTTAGGCTCAGCTTGCTCACAGGGTGTAATCAGATGCTTGCTGTGAGAATGTTCTGGAATCTGCTAGTTTTGGAGGAACGTTTTCCTTTTTGTCGTTGAAAGAAATGAACACAAGCACTAAAGGTGAAGGATGTTGGGCTGGGTTGTTACAGCCAGCTAACAAGGGATGGGGGATCACCAAAGTTTCAGTGCAGAGACAGAAGGAGTAGTGAGTTACTCACCTATTCATATGCAATGTAGCAGAACAGTTGGGTTAATCTGTTCAATTTATATAATGCAAGTTATTTGTCTGTACATGACATCTTCCTGTGATGGTTTGGTGCTAAACATCACCTTCATGTCATTTGGCAGGAAAAATTAGAATAGTGGGCCAAAATAAGTCAGCAGAGTGTCTGCCCCTTGTGGAGACAGTGATGCTGCTGATTGTGCCACTTGCTGTGGTCACAGGACTGCTGAGAGACTTCATGTGACCTGCTCTGTTTCTAACCAGCATAACTGTTTTGAAACGACATCCCAGGAACACCCCGGATGGAAGTGGGCAGTTTTTTGTTTATAGCAACAGCAAATACTCCCTGTAGTGCTGCATAACATGCCAGAAATAAGCCTCTGTGTTGTAGTTTACTTCCATAACTAAAGGATCTTTTAACCTGTAGAAATTCTATGCTGCCATTTTGGTACAACCCATTTCCATGCTCCAGCAAGTTTCATGCTGGCTTAAAGCTTTCAGACAGAGCTAAATCGGGGCGGGGGGCGTGGGGGGAGTGGTTCTTCTGTTGTTGTTTTTAAGGAGGGGGGAGCATTAGAAACAGGGAAGGGTTCGGATGTAGAGAAAGTTCAGTATTTGGGAATTTGGTGTTGTATAAATATGGAAGGTGAGTGTCACTAGAACAAGTCTTTTGGGAAATTGGTCTCCACTGACTTGGCACAGGGCACTTCCATTGGCTTGCCATGAAATGCATGCTTACTCGTGGCTGGGAGACACTGCACACACCTTGTGCCTCACTCCTCCACCCCCTGAATGAGAAACAACCCCTTTGTGAGGAAAAAGTTTTATCAGGCTTGCCCAATATGTGGAGAAATTCAGGATATGAAAATCACGTATTCTCCGTTTGCTATTAGAATTCCTTCTGTGGAGTTAATGCATTTGTCGTTGTTGTATTTGTGCATGGTACAAGTGACAACACTGCATAATACAGTGAGCAATAACAATTAGGTATTAACCACTTTCACATTAAACCTGCCACGTGCAACCATTCCCCAAGGCCCCATAGAGTGTTTTGGTTTTGCCCCGTACTTTTTACTGTGTGAGATTTCAGATTTTTTATTGACTGTCTTTAGCTCCAACTAAATGGGAACAGTAAACAATCTCTCTGATCAAAATCTAGTTTAATTTGATTTTGTTGGTTAGCCTGTACCTCTGGCCTGGTATTGATTTTCTTTCTCTTTAATCCTACCTTACTGAAACAAGGAAAAAGCATCGAGGGGGTGTTATACCCACGCATATCGCTCCAGGCCATATTTCTTTTCATTAGGTCAAACTCGTTCCGTGAACATCTCTTCCAAGTTGCAGAACAGATCCAGGGGCACAGGGGTGTCTGTGAATCTGTTAGGAAACACTGGTAGTTTCAGCTGGATGGTGATAATGGGTTTGAGCAGTTCTGGGTTCATTGCATTGCCAGGCTGCCCAGAAGGGCTGCTCGTGTGTGTGGACGCTCGTCCCCTTGGCTGCAGAAGAGTTTCAGAAGAGTGCTGGAGATGGTGACCCAGAGAGGATGGTCAGCAGAGACTTCCCAGCAGCAGCCCTTCAGCACTTGCTCTCCCTGTGTGCAGTGTTAGCCATGTTTGGCCTCTATGGACTTTCTATGTAAATTAAAACTCTGTTTCCAGACAGCATTAAACTTTTTATATTATGAAATTTACCATGTAAAAAGATTTTCATATTTTTATTGAAATTGCTAAGGCATTTGGCCTTCCTTCTTTGTGATTTCAGTGTCTATTAAAGCATGAGTTCTCTCAGTGCCTCAATCTCTTGGTCTAGGAGGGTGTTGGGGAAGGGTGTTTGCTGGCTCATTGCTCTCTGCCAGCAGCCAGCTCTGTGCATCCCGTGGCAGAGTGTGGCAGACACAAGGCAGCTCTCAGCTCCCTCTGCAACTTTCCTCCCCTTTTTGTGCAGTGTAGTGTTTCTGTTAACAGTGCTCACTGGAAATTGCTTTTCCTTTTCCTAACAGGTGGTGGGAGCATCACTATTTGCTGGTCTCTTGTAGGTGGGAGCAAAAGGATGCAAAGCGCTGGGAGGAGCTCCAAGAGTCACTGGCTCTAGCCCTCCAGTGGGAGAACCCAGTGCTGAAAGGATGAGAGACTCTCCCTGTACCGATGCCAGCTGGAACCTGCTGAGTTAAATCTTCCTTCTGCCCCCATGTTACAGGTGCTCTTGTGCTTAGGGGAAGTGTTTGGGGACAGATGAAACTAAACATGCAAACCTGCATTGGGGCCACAGGAGGCTCAGCCTCTTGACAGCAGCCAGGAGCCACTGGTTGTGCTGCCGAGGGAGCCTGGGCTGGAGCTCTGCCAGGAGGAGCAGCTCCTGGGGAAGCGACCCCTCCACGAGCGGGGCCGCAGTGGAGCCGCAAGGGCTGGTCTGAAGTGGTTTGTCTGCGCAGGGCCCGGGGTCAGTGGCTGCTCGGTGACGCTGCCGTGTGTGGCAGGATGCAGAGAGCACACGCTGCAGCTGGCGGAGCACACACCAGACAAACCTTATCCATATGGGGAAGAAGCAGCAGCATGGGCTGCATGCTGCCAGTGTTTTGAAAAGCCAAATAAAGGCAAATCCTGAATGCTTGAGAACTTAGGCAAGTAGAGGCTCGCAGCCCCACCCCCAGGGGCCCCAGCACAGCCCTGGCCACTGCTGGCCCTCTCAGCCGGAGCCAGCCACCCCAAGTCTGGAATTGTGTGTCCATAGGCAGGGCTACTGAGGGTTTTCTGTACAGCCATTTATCTGTGGTGGGGCAACGTGGAATTTTCTTACCTGTGGATTTTTGCTCTCCATTAATGGGCTAGTTTGGCTCCTGGCAAAGGCAAGGTGGGGGATGATGCCTTTTCTAGGGAAAGAGGGGCCAGGAGTGGTGCAGGAAGGGTCATGAGTCACCTCTGGGGAAGAGGATGTGCCATGGGAACACAAGTGTGGTGCTGAGGCCAAGGCTTGGACAGGAAGCTGCAGCTCACCAGGAGGCAAAGGCCTGCCCTGGCCAGTGCTGGGCACCAGCAGGTACCACAGGAGAATTAAAATGCAGCAGCCACCCAGAAATAAAAAATGTGCAGCTGAGCTGCTTATGGGGCAAGAGTTGACCACAAATGTGCCTTTGAAGTTACACCTTTCTCTTGCCAGCCCTGGGGCAGCACTATTCACCAGAACTCCCAGGTGGGAATGCTGTGAGGTCCCACATCCAGGCCTGTTTCCATTTCCCTTCCGCAGCACCCAAAACCAGTTCCACCCTCCCCTTGACAGGCCTGGAAGTGTTGTGGGGTTGGTTTTTCTTTCCATTTTACCTGGTTTTACATTTGTGTGAGCATTTCAAACAGAGGAAAGCAGATGTGCTCTCTCTGCATAGCTGTGGAAAGTATCGGAGACAAAAAATGAAAGCCAACGCTCAGAAACCAGAAAGGAAATCAATATATTTAGAATACGTTAAGTAAATCCTGTAGTTCTACCTGAATTGTGATTTTTGAGAACCCCAAAGTGGAAGTATTGTTACCTGGCTGCCTTGTTCTTAGGACGACATTTTGCCACAGGATAAACTTCAGTCACTATGGAAACCAGGATAAAGCCAAATACAACACACAGAACACAGAGGGGTGCTCCCACCCCTTTGCTCCAGAGCCTGGAGCCCCGGTGGAACTTGTCCCTGCCACACACAGTCCTGCACTGCCCGGTGTCACTGCCCAGTACCCCTGAGCTACCACGGGAATTTTGCTCCTCGAGGAGCGTTCCAGGAACCAGCGTTCCAGCCTCCTCACAGCCTGGAGGGGCTCCACGGAATGTTCTGCTTTCGAGGCTGAATTCACCCTTCTTTCAACGCCTCTGAGCTCTCAGGCTTGCGGGCTCCTTTAATTTTTTTGTTTTTAATGACAGCTGATGGTCAAGCGTTACCTGTGGGACCAGCGGGGGCAGGTGGGAGAAACTGAGCCCCAGCACGGCCGAGCCTTGCTCCTCCTCGTGTGGGTGCCAGACCTTATTAATTCCTGGCATCCTCGCTACTGACTTGTGACTGCGATGGAGGATAAAGAGCTGGTCTCACAAGAGGGCGGCATTGGCCGCGGTAACAGCCTCGGATGGAGCCGGGAAGGCGCCTTTCCCTGGCGGGGGCACCGCGTCTGCAGGGCCGCGGTGTGGTTCCGTTCGCGTGTCCAACGAGGGCAGTGCGGAAGCAACAGCGACCCGCAGGAGAAGGATTTTGCTCGACAGACTCAGGGAATTCCAGCTCCCCCCGCCCGGCAGGGGCTGGTGCTGGCGGCGCCCCCGCCGAGGCCGGGGCTCGGTGTGAGAGCGAGGCCGGGCACTGCGGGACAGCGGGACTCAGGACAGGCCGCCACGCGCCTGACGGGCGCCGACACCTCCCGTTGTGCCTCCCGCGGGCCGGGCGGGGCCGCGCTGGACCCGCGGCCGGGCGGGCAAACGGCGCAACCGCCGCCGTTGAGGCGGGGCCGTCCCGGGGCCGCGCCCGCCCCGCCCCGCGCGGCGCCGGCCCGTGACGTCACCTCGCCGGCCGACGAAGGCGCGCGGGACGGGGGCGGAGCCGGTCCGGCGACGCGCTCTGATTGGCCGCTTACGGGTGAGGTGTGCGCTCGCGGGAGCTGCGCGCCCTCGGATTGGCGGCGGCCGGCGCACGCGCGCGCCCCGAGGGCGAGGCGCGGGCGCGATTGGCCGCGCGGGGCGGGGGGCGGGGCCTGGCCCGAGAGCGGCGCGTGCGCGGAGCGACGGGAAGATGGTGCTGATCAAGGAGTTGTGAGTGGGGGCGGCGGGGGGAGTGCGGGGGCTCTGGGGGACATTGACGGACACCGGGGGGGGCTTTTTCACCACCACTGCCCCGTCCGGCCTCCCCCGCCCGCGCCGCTCTCCCCGGGCTGCGGGGCCGCTCCGCCCGCCTGCCCGTGCTCCGGGGCCGCCGCCACGGCCCCGCTCCGGCCGGTCCGCACCCGGGCACGCGGCCCGGGCGGCCCCTGCGCGGAGCGGGAGCCGCGGCCCCGCTCCGGGGTCTCCTGGACCTCCGTCCCCTCGGGCCACGCCGTGCCCAGGCGGCGGTGCCGCGGCGAGCGCGTCGTCCCGCGGGATTTCTCCCCGTTTTCCTTAGAAAGAGATTCGGTGGCAGCGGCGACCGTCCTGGAGCGGGGCCAGGGCCCTTCCCTGCTCGCAACTCCCTGAGCTGCCGGCGCCGGGAGTTCCACGCCGCTGGGGAGGTCTTTCTCGTGGGGGTTTCTGCCAGCAAACCACCAGCCAGTTTGCTCCTCCGTCCCACCCTTTGGCTTTAGATTACTCCGACGTCCAGTAACTGTAACCTCAGCGGTAGTAAAGGTTCAAAAGCTTAAACAAATTAAGCACGACACAAAGTTATGGCAGAGCTGGAAGTAGATCCGAAATTTCCTGGCTCTTTTCTGCGGTTTCTAACATCCTCCACCCCTTGTTTTTCCTTTTGTAACGTGTTTGGCATTGAACTTCGCTTGGGTTTGTTGCATTATACTCAAAGCCTCCCTGTCAACAGAGCATTTCTAAAGAGAAAACTTGAATTAGCTCCTTTTGACATTTTCTTGAATACCTGTGTTACATTTTATGTCTTTTATCTCAGATGAAGCCTAACGATTCGTTTTGTTGAATTTGCTCTTTTCCAGCCGAGTGGTTTTACCTTGCTCAGTGCAAGAGGTATGTCCTGGTGCTCCCTGCTTTGTTTGGGCTCAGGGGTGGGGGGGCTGTGTGGGGTCCAAATGTCCCCTGTGCTGTCCCTGCCAGAGGGGGGTGACACAGGCGTGAGCCCTGTTCCTTCCCATCAGGGAATTTACAAGGAGGCAAATGCAGCACAGAGCCTTGAGCTGGTTCTGAGCCCTCCACTGCCACCTGTGCCACTGTGCCCTGTGGCAGCACTTTCCTGCTGATCGGGCACTGAGGGACTCCAAGCCTTTTCCTAAAGCCAAAAGTCGGAATTGTCCTCTCGGATGTGAAGCCAGCAATTCAAATGGCACTGAGGTGCATTTAAAGGAGAGGCATGACAGGGGGTCTGAACACACTCCTGTGCTTGTCCTGCAGTGTGCATTTCCTGGGTCCTGGGAGGGCAGCATCTAGTTGGTTAAAAGTATGAACTGGGGAGGCTTAGAGCTGGAAATCAGTCATTTCAAAATCTGTAAACTCAAAATGTATGTTTCTTTGATGCAATGAAGCACAACAAATACACTTTATTCTTAGGATGGGGAAAATGAAGCATCACAACTTGTGTGTTTGCCAAAGTGTTGGATTGTTATGAAGCAACCTGGGTATAAACTTGGTGCTTGTGAGCTGCAGATATGTGTTGCCAGAAGGTTGTCAGTTTACTAAATGTCTTTTTTATATGGTGTATTTTACTTTCCTGATAATTTTGTTTGTACTACTGCATTTTTACTGGAAACAGCTAAATTGTTTTATCTGTTAAAAGTTTTGGCCAACTTCAGTGCTGACATTTGAATTCTCTTACCTTTTCAGTATCAAGTTGGGCAACTTTATTCTGTGGCAGAAGCTAGCAAAAATGAAACAGGAGGAGGGGAAGGCATTCAAGTCTTAAAAAATGAGCCTTATGAAGAGGATGGTGAGAAGGGACAATATACTCACAAGATCTACCATTTAAAGAGGTGAGGAAAACATTGATGCACATTGTAGTCAGTTTGTTGTGAGGGCAGCCTTCCATTGTTTGCCATTCTAGGACACTTGCTTGTGTTTTTCTGCCACTCTGTGATTTGCTGAATTGTGCATTAATGCTCTGGTGAGTAGGAAAACATGTGAAATACAGTGGATTTTAAATATACTTGATGGAGCATTGTGGGACAGCTGAAGGAATTATGTTTGCTTGCTCTAGACAGAGAGGAGTTGAAGATGAGTGGGACATAAGGTTCCTGCCTTAATTATCAGCTGGTTTTTTTCCTTGAATTTAAAATAAACAGGCCAGGAACTTATTCACCATCCTTGGAGAAAAACTGAGGCTGGAACACTTACCTAGGTTGATCTCTGTCTGTCCTTTACGCACTTGTGTATCTGGAGTTTGTTTAAAGTTGCCTCCTTTAAGGACAGCAGCCTTGAGCATTCTTCTGGGTAACACCAAATTTCTCTTGTATCAGATTTTGTTACTTTTTTCACCCTGTCCAATTCTTGGTCCCTGTCAGGGGCACTCTGTTGGGCTAGAGAGGGCAGTTATTGTCAGGGGTGGTAATTCAGTTGCTCTTGGAGAGCTGCAGGTCTCTTCAGGCACAGTTGCAGACCCTGCAGGGCTCCACTTGGGCTGCAGGTCAGGAGCTGGAGGGAAGGGCTCTGCCCAGTGCTCTCCCTCAGCAGGTGTCTTTGCTGCTCTGGAAGAGGAAAGACAGCACACCTTTCATCAGAATCACATAGCTCACGCTTGTTTACTTTATTATTACCTTACCCATTTTTTTCTTTTATTATGTTGTGATCAGGAAGGGGTTTGGAGTTCCTGTGCATTTCACTACATGTGCATCATAACCTTTCAAATGCTTGGGTAGAATGTGCCTTTCTTCTTGGAGTGGAAGAAACCAATGAGGAATTTCAGCTGGCAGAATTTTTAAAATGTTGTCCTTGTTTGTTTTTTCCAGTAAAGTCCCTGGCTTTGTAAGGATGATTGCTCCAGAAGGCTCCCTGGTGTTCCACGAGAAAGCCTGGAATGCGTATCCCTACTGTAGAACAAGTAGGTCTCCGCTTGTGTGTTTTGCTGTCAGTGTTCAGTGAAGGGATGGGCTGAAATGGTTTAGAAGAGCGGGGCCATCGAGAGGAAGATGCATTTCAGATGTTCCTCTGGCATGTGGGGGGGTCTCCTCTGGAAAGGAGAGCTGCTCCTGGGGCTGCTCAGGTCCAGGAGCCTGCAGAGACCTGGCATCCAGTGTCCTGGGATGAGGGCGAGGAGGGGATTCCCTTCAGGGCTAGGACAGAGCCTGTGTGAGAATCACTATATTTTCATAGTCTGTTAGAGCTGACTGCTGGGTTTTATTGTAGTATTTGTAATTCCTAAGAGTAGTTAGGCTGGGAGTAGTTGTGTGTGTTTCTGTTGAACAGTTTGAAGTGTCCTGTAAGGAACTCCCAAGGTTAAGGCCATCAAGTCAAAGTCTGCTGAGCTCTGCTGTGATGCCTACAGCTGCTGTTCAGACTGACTCTGTTTGTTGTACTGCAGAGCAGTTATATGTGAGACCTTTCAGAAATAATCGTATCTAATATGACTCTTTGTTTCCTTTTCCTTTTCATTGCACGGGTTTCCCAACGACCAGTTGTGACAGTGAGTATTTGAATTCCTACCGGTCCCGTGTTGGGTTTTTTTTGAGATAATATTTTGTCTGTTGTTACCATTACAGTTGTCTGGCCCCAGCCTGTCATATGTGCCTTGCTAGGGTTCCTGGCATAGAGCTCCCTGTTACTTTATTTGTCTGCATATGGCTATAATTAGAAAAAACTGTAATTTGTGAGAGAAATTATTTCATTTTTGTCACCTTCTTTTATGCCTTTACTTACCATTACAGCTGCATAATATCTGACCTGGTAAGACATAATGCTAAAAAGGGGGGGGGGGCAAAACCCACACCAAATTAGAGGCTTTTACCCTCTTGAATGCAAGAAGAACAATGAAATGGAAATCAGTCCCTACCTGTCTGAAATGCCACTGCTGTAAAGTGAATTCCTGCCTCGGTTAATATGTGGTAACTGGGAATTTAAATGGATCAGCATAGCTCAGAGTTTGGGTTTGCTTTTTTAAGATGCATGGAAGGGACATCATTAAGAATTTAATGCCCTGTGTATATGTTTTAGTTGCCTGTTTAAGGACACTTATAAGTTAAATGTTAAACTGCTTTATGTGCTCTCTTGCAAATGTGGTTTAGACTGTTACCAGGTAGATGCAACACAAGGAGTAACAAGTGAGTTTGAACTCTTGAGCTTGACTCATCATGACACCTGTGCACACAGGTCTGTGCTTTGTGACTTCTGGAATCAGCAGGGTTCTGTGATAGCCTTTAGATGTATAGTTTAGTGATAGCTGGACCTTTATGATGATTATTGTGCTGTGCAGTAACATCTAACTGCAGTATTAGTAATTTGGAAATTACTTGAACACAGAGGTAAAGAACTTCAGAGTTGAGGAAGCAGGACAGCAAATGGCAGAGTTATTTCTGTTGGTGTGCACAGCTGGAGCTGAAATTCTCAAACATACTTACTGCTCCAGCTTAAGATTATCATGTACCTATTTGTGTAGGTAAAGGGGCTGTTTCTCTGGTAAATTAAATAGGTTGGTTTGCTAGTCAAGGCTTAGTAGTGGCTTGTATGTAGATACCATTTCTCTAAACTGTAGGCATAGGAGTGTAATCAGACTCATGCTTTTTGCTTTTAATTCTTACAGAATGAATACATGAAAGATGACTTCTTCATAAAAATTGAGACCTGGCATAAACCAGATTTGGGGACAACAGAGAATGTGAGTTGAGGTTTGGATACTAGGCCTTAGTGCAATTGTACAGTTAATAAAGTATCCTGTACCTGGTAATGGTGGATAATAACTGCATAAAGTCAATGCCTGACCAGTAAGTAAAGCAAGAAAAGCATTATTGAAGTCCTTGCAGGGTGGTCAAGCTGTCTCACCTAAGGAGATCCAAGGACAAAAGAAGGTTTTTGGTTTTTAAGTTGAGGTCAATGCAGATGCTTGAGTCTCACACAAATATTTAAATAACTTTTCAGTAAGTTCTCTTTTTACTCCATGTTCTTTTACCTTAAACATGCTAGTGATAGTTAGTCTGACAAGTTTATTTGAAAACAAGTTTTACAACAGGTTTCACGAGACCATTGGAGCTGATCTGTGTACAGTGTGTACTTACATATTGAAGCTGCCTCTGTAAATCATCCCAGCTGGCAATGTTCTCATTTTCCTCCCCAGACACTTGATTTGGTTCACAGGTCACTTCAGGATAATTTTGATCTGTAGTGACAAACATTTATCAACAGTCCACAGAGTTGCCAGTCTGTTTCCAGTGCTTGGATGAACTGTAGCACTGGATGTGCTGCACAGAAGGGCAATGTTCCTTGGGCGGCTCTGCTTCCTGTAACTAAGTTTAGGTGTGTTGGACAGACTACAGGTGAGGAGCTGATTTCATCCTGAGACCTTTACACATGCTCACACCACACACTTCACCTGGTCCACATTCAAGGCAGCCCTATGATTCAGGGAGCCTGTGAGATCAGTCAGGTTATTGAAACCTGCGTATTTGCACTTGGAACTTGTACGGCTTCTTTCTAGCTCAGAAAGCTCATGCAGATTATGGAGAGGGTAATGGCTCTAATTAGAGCTTGATTTCATTAGTGCTAACAAATGTGGCAGATGAATACAGCTTAATTTTAAATCCAGGTTTCCTGAATGCACAAAAAGTGAAGGCTTTGTGCTGGTTTAAACTTGGTTAGTGAGTGAATTAAACTGTAGCTGTGGAAATCATTCCCTTTGAGAAAGGCAGAGGAAAAAAGGGTAGGTTTGGAGAATGCTAACTTTATGTAATTCTGAAAAACTCCATGGCACACATATGTACTGCACAAGGTGCACCACTGTGTAACATGCCAGGAATCATTCCTTTTTCTCTTTTTGCAGGTGCACAATTTAGATCCCAACACATGGAGGAGTGTTGAAGTTGTCCATATTGATATTGCAGATAGAACTCAAGTAGAACCAGGAGTAAGTAAATGCTTTGCTACTGGGATGTAGATGCAGCCTGCAGCTGATTGCACTGGTGGTTTGTGTTGATTGTGAATAAGCTAAAGTGGTGTGAATTTCACACAACAGAGACATGAAAAGTATCTTAAACAGAATCACTCATTTACGTGCCTCCCTTACTTTCTTGGTTTTAGTGCTGATGCTTTCAGCACATCTGGATCTGTTGGGGCTGTTGTCTGGTTTGTTTAATTGTAACAGCTGGACTGTTCCATGTGTAATAATTTTTGGACAGTAGGGGAATGGTAGGCACCAATATGGAGACTGTTTCCACAATAAATTTGATTGTCTTGAGTTTGTGCAAGGAGATATTCTTTATAGTGTTTCACTGTTATTTTCTGAAAATAAATACTTGGATAACCTACATTCTGGGGAGAGGACTCCTTTGCAGGAGGGCCTTGGAACTATTTTTAGTACATTATCCTCTTTTTGATTTTGTGTATTTGACCTACAGAGTATCAAAACTATGAGTGCAGAGCGGTCTCATCCAAAGTCTTAAGTCTCTTCTGATGTTACTACATTCGGTTTCCTTTTTGTTAACTTCTAACACCATTTCCACTTTTAGCAAATATTTTGAACAGGTATTTTCAGATTCAAACTCACAGTGTAGCCCATCCTTGTGTAGGAATACTTGGGATTAATTTGTACCACCTGATTCAAATTTTCATCTCCATTTCATCTCCCAGAAACTCAGTTTTGCAAAGTCCTGATTTCATTAACCAAAGCCTGGCTTTGTGCTCAGACTCTTAGCAGGCTGATAACTCTGAGTTACCTTCAGACTCGCACCCCTGCCATTCACCTGTTTGCCCCTTCTGGGATTAGACAGCAGGAATTCTCTGGGTCCTACACTTGGAATCTCTTCTGTTATGAAAATCTGCATTTTCCAGCCTTTATCTTCTCAGGACTCCAGGAGAGAGACTTTCCATTTATGCTGATGTATCTTTATCAATTTTAGATCATGGAACTTGAATATTCTTTTTTTGAAGTTCAGCTACATTATAGTAACAAAATTGCCCTGATTGACATGCTGGCTTTGTGCCTTCAGAGAAGGCTGCTGGTCTTGGAAAGTAAATGTCCCCTATGAAACCATCAGCTGTTTTCCCTGTGTTCTATTTGTCTAGAGGTTCTTTTCCTGCTGTTCCTTTATCTTTGTTCAGTGATATTTGAGCAATCACCAGTTTACTCTGTGGGGTAATACCTGAAATCATGTGCTTTGTATGGTTTTGGGGGTTTTTTTGCTATGATGCTTGTTTGGGAACTATCATTCTAAGTGGCTGGTTGGGTCTTTTGGCCTGCTCCATTTTTCAGGGAAAAGCAATAGTCAGTGTTGCTAAAAGAAAGTTTTATTTGTACATTTATCTTCTCAGACATTGTTTGCCTGGAAAAGCAGCTCAAATGTATAACCTTGGGTAACAGTAGGACTGAAAGAATGGAACTACGTTTAAGATTTAGCAATTTTGATGAAAGTTTTCATACATTCAAAATTTATCTTTTTGTTCAGTGAATTAACTTGTCCACCCTGCTGTGGCGTAGCAGTTACTTTAGTTTCAGAGCCACAATTGGCATAAATATAAAAACAGTAAATTTCTTTAAGCTACTAATGGCATGCATATGCTAACTCATGCTCATTAAAGTATGTATAAAAATAATTTGGCTGACATCTGTGACTTTCTTTAGATAAAAATTTAACCCTGCCCATTCTTAATCATCTCCAGCATCCAGTCCATGTGACTTTATGTGATTTGTATATAAAAATTACTTCCCAGGAGAGGAAGACTTTTTAAAGAGTAAGCAAAAGTGAACCCTCAATTAACATCAGAAGAGGCTGTGGTTTTGGAAACAATTTGTAGGAAAGGAGAGTGTAGTGAAAACAAATTGAAATCAGATTTATAGCTATGTTTGTACAATGAAGAAATTAAAAGTCTTGTTCTGGGTCACAGTGGATCTTCATTGTATTACTTGAAAGAAAGTTGTAGAACTACAATTTTGTGCTCTAATTAGATTATTTTACACATGCCTTAAGAGTTCAGATTTCTGTGTGCTATCTATCCCTTGTTCTACAGTTTGAGGAAATATACTGGAAATGCTCTTCTGTAGTCTGTAAGGAAGTGTTAGAAGATTCTTGAGTTAAAGAGTTTGATGGGTGGATCTCTTCCATTTCAGACTTAATTTATCATGTGATAGGCACCTAAAAACTACATGTTATTAGTCTTGAAACTTTTGAGTCATTATATGATGACACATCCCATGGAACAGCCTATCTATGTAGCTTTTAGCTTACTAGTGTTTCCCTCTCCTCTTTTTGTTTTCTATCCCTAAATAAGGCTTTTTCATCCTGTCCTGGGTGTTTATAAAGCTCTGTGTCTTCCAGCCTCCTTTCTGGAGACCTTTAACTTCTCGTTCCGAGCGCGGCACGCCGCGTGCATCCGTGATGAGATAACCAGCCTGGTTTCATTTCTCATTTGAACCTTGGCGTTCTTTCAAAAGTGATTTCAGAGAATGGTTTCCCTGATAGCTGTGCTGTAGCTGCAGGACTCTTCAGGAGATGGGAATGACTACAGGACATTTTTGATTAAAAGCCATTTAGCCAAGCCTACCCAAAGCACACGGCTGCACGTCAGTGAAGTGCTGGTGACTGTTTCAGTTATGAGACATGGGAATCTGACTTGGCAATATGACATACTTGGATAAACCTGATTTTAAACTTCTGTTGTGCTGTGAATGAGCACCCACAGAGCTGTGGATCATGTTGAGGGGAAGTGCTGGTAGGTGTTTCCTTCCACAGGGACCGTGTGTGAGTTTTCTGCTCAGTAACACCAGTAGTAAGTATGTTCTCACGTTTAAAACAATAATGCAATATTGAGCTGAAAAGCCAGAATTTGTGTCCACCTGCCTAGTTAGTGTGATGCCACTGTGTGTTCAGGAAGTGCTTTTCATAGATTTGCAGATCAGGCACCAGACTTGTATAACTTTTATGTTAGGTTTGAAAAGTTTTCTTAAAATCATATGTTTTCAGTTTTTATACTTCTTGATAGTGAACTGTGAGCTCTCAGGAGTACTGTTACCACTCTGAGCAGATTTAAAAACTGAGAATGAGAATTGTAAAGAAGCGCCCAGGTTCTGGGTTTGTTGTAATATTTATTGTATATGGTTCATGATCTCTCTAAATAATTCTTTTCAGTAGATTGTTGCATTCATGCATGTTATGTTGAGAATTTGAGCAGAAACTGCCTGTGAAATTATATTTGTGTATTTCTTTGAAATAGTTTTAGCTCCTCTATCTTGTTATGCTGCTGCATGCTGATGTTTGCCTGTCTGGCTTTCCAGAGGGCTTCGGGGGTTTGAGCTGTAATATTTGCTCCAGCAGCTGCCTGCTTTTCTTCCTAAGAAGGACTTGCTGTTGTCAGGAGTTAAGCTCTTGCTGCACAGATATTTTCCTTAAACTCTGCAAAGAACTGTTGTTTATTTGTACTTTGGCTCTAGTCCAGTCTTCTTCCCTGCGTGCTGGTAGGGTTTGTGTGTGGAGAAGAGTTCCTACAATGCTCTCCTGTCCATCTAGGCTTTAGTCTATACAGGGTTTTGTCTGTCCTTAACAGGATTTGGGTTAACTGAGTTCTGAAAGGTCTTGATTCAAAGCTTCTGTCTCTAGCATAGAAAACTTTACCATGATTCATCTAATTTCTTTGAACTTTTGTTTTCACTCCTACATTTTATTCCTAGATAACATTTTGTTCCCCAGTGTTTCCAGCTCTGGTTATTTATTTGTGGGTCCCAAATGCAAGAGCACGGTTGCTTTTTACCAGTGTCCCTGTGCAGTGGGAGGTAGGATGGCAGGTAACAGCATTGTGTGGGCTTGGGTGTCCCTGGAGTATCCAGACAAATCATCCCACAACATCAACCAGGCAGATCAAGGTTGCACATGTAGGTGAGTTTAAATGCCACATGCCCCACACCACTGTAGTGTAAGCTCTGCCTTGGTAGGGTATTCACACAGTGAAAATAAATTCAGGGTTATCTCAATGCAGTATCTGTTTTTATTTACAAAACTGGCACTAAGATGTGGATTCTTGTATTTCTGTTTAGCACATCACTGCCCCAAAACAGCAGCAATAGTTGTGCCAGCAATTAGTTATCTAGAGCAAAATTGTTTATCTATTGTTATTACTATAGCTTGATCCTTTTCCATGTCTTCCATCCAGTGGTTGAGTGAAATTTTTAAAAGGCAATCATGACCAGTAATTTAAAACATTCAATATATTTCTATAAAAACACTCTGCTCTAGTATTTGCATAGATTTCCTATGGGTGATTTATGTGTAAAGAAAATGCCTCTTTTTCCACCCAAGGATTGTTTAAAAAAAAGTGTATCACGTTGAGCCTCCAGGACACGCAGAACCTGAGGATTCCAGTGGGTTGCAGCTGTCCTCTCCCACAGTATTTGGAAGTAACTCATGAGATGAGAAGTCTGCAGCTGGTGTCAAGTCCTGTGAGCTGTGTGGCTCCCTGGCTCCCGGCTGGGCTCCCAGAGGAGCCAGTCTTGGACACAGCCAGTGACTCCAGCTGAGTGCTGGGCTCACTGCAGCAGGAGCTGAGGCAGGGCTGGATATCGTGTGCTGCTGTGTATCTGCTCTTTTTGATGTCTGTGAAAAGGACGTGTGCTTTACTGCAGTGCAATCATAACTCAGTGGGGTTTACTGAAATTCAGGTGACAAATATGTCTGTTAGTCTTTCTGCAATTACAGTAATTCGAGTGGGCTTTAAATGTTTAAGTGTTGCTGAATTTCAGTGTTGCTGTGCCGGTTCCTCGGGCCGTGCCCTGGGGCAGGTGAAGGGTTGGGGAGCACTGTGGCAGCCCCTGCTGATGCTGGCTGGCTCAAATGTGTGCTCTTCAAATAAAACACGTTGTTTCAGTTAAGAGGGAGAACTAGAGGGAGCTCCTGGTTTGTGGAAGTTCATAAAACATTGATTAGCAATGTGATTGGAATGTCTTGACTCGCTTGGCTTCTTCTAGGAAATATTTGTTCAGTTCCTAAATTTTAATTGTATATGTTTGAACGCTCCATATGGAAGTTTGAATAGCTAGTAATGCTTTCTAGATATATTAATTACAGAATGGCTGGAAAAATCTATTGAAAGGTTTCTTCAGCTTGTTTTAATACACATTGTAAGTAGGTACGTTAAAAGAACTGGAACAGTGAGAGAAAAATGGGGAGAAGAAAGTGTAACAGCTGATTTTCTGTAAGTGAAGTTGGATTCCTCTGAGAGGACCTCCTGGATTTTCTGGTTCTGTCTGCTTGCAAAAGGTGATTTAAATGTCAGAATGGTTGTGAAAGCAATAACAGCTAACTTGTGTAGCCTTGCTCTGTGGATTTGGAATTTCAGTCTGGAAGTAGCCTTTGTTCCTTTGTGCTGATGGAAGAATCTGGAGCTGAAAACTGGTGTGGTTCACATGGTCTTCAGCATCCAGGAGCTGCTTCTCTTGGAGGTGTTTCTTTCTCTCCATGATCTGCAGGTCTTGTCCTCGTTGAAACTGTATTTAAAAATGAGACCTTAAACTCTGCTAAACTTTCTTGGCCTTTTCTGTAGCACCCACCAAGCATTTGCTCTGCTTTGAAGCAACTTAAATTGTTACAGTTCTCCTGAGTTGCATGGATGTAGTGGTAATCTTGGGTGGATGTTTTTCATACACTGTATAAACCTCATTTCTGAATCCCTGCTTTCTCCTCCCCTCAGAGGTCACAGACCCGGTGGGACAGTGCTGATGGCACAACGTGCAAGCACAGGGCAGCTCTGGCCTAGAGCAGCCCTGGAGAGCTGTCGTGGTGTAGCAGGTCAGGAGCACCACAGGGGACACAGGGAGTGAGCAGTGTGATGAGCCAGAGTCAGCCTGGCAGCTGTGCTCCACCCATCCTGCTCCACAGCACTCAGGGAATCACTTTGGCAGTCGTGGGCAGAGGCTTAATGCAGTGGGATATTTAATCTGGTGGAGTTTTCTTACTATAAGGGTGTTTTATGTTACAGGACTACAAAGCTGATGAAGATCCTGCATTATTCCAGTCAGTTAAGACGAAGAGAGGACCTCTGGGGCCAAATTGGAAGGTACTGGGAACATAAAGCCTTATGAAGTCTTTATCAGCAGAAAAACAGAGTTCATGGTTCCTTCAGAACCGTGCTCAACTCCAATTCAGGAAAAAATTTCCCATGGCCCAGCACATCCTCCATGGACCCCAGTGACATCCCAAGAGCAGCACACAGCTTGCCAGTACCCCTTGCCCCTGCCAGCCATCAGAATCCATGTGCACACCATCCCAGGAGGGAAGGGACTGTGTGTGCCACACCAGAGATCTGAGCAGCCCCATGCTGTGCTCTGGGGTGAATCACAGGCAGTCTGTCAGGACCAGCCCCTAGTTACTGATTAGAATGTAGTTTCTCTGTAATAACACTTAGAATAATATTTTATTATTCTTATAACATAGTCAAATTCCATTCGTTTCCTATAAATTATAGTATCTATAATTCTAATACACTAATTAGAATTATAATTTCTAATAATTAAAGTAAATTTTTAAAAGTTTAAAACTTCTTTCCCATTGTCCCCAAATAGAAAGAGCTAGCAACTGATGAGGAGTGTCCCAAAATGTGTGCTTACAAGTTGGTGACCATCAAATTCAAGTGGTGGGGACTGCAGAACAAAGTTGAAAACTTTATACAAAAGGTGAGTGCTTCTGCCTTGTGGGGTAGAGGGGACTGTGTTAATGTGGGGGTTGAGCATAAACAGCAATGCAGTTTCCTGTCCATTCTCCCAGCCAGTCCAACCATTTGTGTCTTGGTCTCCTACAAATGGGTGGTACCAGAACAACTCTCTAAGGGGAAAAAAGCAAAGTCTTCGGGAAGTCCTTGTTCTGGTTTGTCAGCTGCCACCTTGGAGCTAAAACAGATTTTAAAAGGATTCTTCATCATTTTCAAGTAATGTGAATTGCTGAACTTTCTTGAAACTTTTTTTTTGATAGTGAAATTTGTTCATTTTTTCCATGCTAAAGCATGTTTGAAATGAGGTGAATTTTAATTGGATCCAGGGGTGTGAAGGGGCTGAACCTGTACCAGTGTGAAACAGCACGAGCCTGAAGATTGTAACTCTTCAGACTGAGCAGGTGCAGTCACTTCACCAGCCTTTGGCAAGTCCTAGGCCAATGATCTAATGCTTGTTTATCTTTTTAAAGCAAGAAAAAAGGATATTTACCAACTTCCATCGCCAGCTGTTCTGTTGGATTGACAGGTGGATTGAACTGACTATGGAGGACATTAGGAGAATGGAGGATGAAACCCAGAGGGAGCTGGAAGCGGTAAGAAAGCTTTTTTAAGGCTTAGATGTGGGTGCTTCTACCTGTAGATTTGTCTGTTTGGAAACTGAGACAAGTTGTGTTGTGTCTGTGCCTGTGTGTGTGTGTGTGTGTGTGTGTTTGGGCAATTGCTGATGAACATTGTGGCCCCTTTGGTGATCCTCCTGTGCAGCCCCATGTGCTTCAGGCTTATGCAGTCTGTGCTGGCAAGCTGGAAGTGGCTGTAAGGTAAATATCTCTGGTGTCATTAAACCCAGAATGCCTGCCCTGACCACCTCTGTGTTCGTGGCACCACACCCATTGCACAAAGTCCCATCCAGGGCCTTTTAGCTGCTTGTTGATTAGAAGTCAGAGCTGCCACTGTTCCATCACGTGTCTTGCTGTGTTTCATTTCTAGTTATCACTAGATCTGATCTTTTTTTCCTCTTCAAACATGTTTTCAAGCAAGTTTGTGTCACATGTCAGCTGTTCCAGTCCTAATTAGCACAGCAAACTAAAATTTTACTTCCAAAAAGGAAGTCACTAAAATTAACTGAGATGGTGTCAGTTTTCCTGCTTTAGTGGCTGTGAGGACCAAATCTCTATATCCTGACGTGGGCTGATGTCTGGGAGGAAGCTCGGACGTAGGGATTTGTCACTGCTCTTTCCTTTCAGAGGTGGACCACCAAAACAGGCTGGGAAGGAAGCTGTCTTCTGTAGTGTCTTTCCAGACCATAACCTTTGGCATGAACCTTTCCCATGTAAAATCCTGATGGCAATTTGCAGGTCCTTTGCAGTCTTTGTATGTGCAGTTGTATTTCATCCCATTTTGGCAACTGCTTTATACCCCAAACCCAGTCAGGTTGCCACTGCCCTTCCACTGTCTTGGTTCTTCCAAAACACAATGTGTCTTCAGCTACAACTTGCTTTTTGTGTGGCTTGACTCATTCCAGACTCTCTAACCATGTTGCCCGAGGTTCAGCCCAGCTGTGGGCAGGGCCCTGCAGCGCGTTCTGTGCTCTGTGCCTGGCACCTCTGTGCTGTTGGTACCAAACCAACTGCAGCTCCTCCATCCCCTCTCGTGCTCTCTGGGGACTTTCAGAACTCTGTGGAACAGCCTGTATTGTGTAGGGGTGTTTCCTGGGTTTGGAAGAAGTGTTTCTTTGGGGTCCTGCGCAGCCATAGGTAGATGTGCTGAGATGGAAACACCAAACGTTCTTCTCCCATAATCTGGAGGGTTTGGCTGCATTGGCAGCCCTGGAATAAGCTTTGGACAAGACTGGTCTTCACTCACTCATGCAGACCTTATGTGCTCTCATGGGCATTTGGGTATTTTTGGCAGGTGTTCTCTCAAATCACGGGGATTTCTTCTTGAATTCTACTTTATGCCTGATCCTGTTCCTAGAGCCAGTGTTCCCAGGTGTCTGTGAAGGAGGAAGCATAACCACTTTCCTCTGTAGACTGATTTTTGCCAGAAGGGTCCCCTTTTGCACACCCATAGTTCTTCATTTGAAGTGAAAAAGACTTTATCCAGTTTCCTGAGCAAGGGCAGTGGCAGTGAGGGGTGCTCAGCAGGGGTGTGCTGGAGAGAGGCAGCACAGCCTGACACACCTGTGTGCGTGAGGAAATTGTTCCTCTGTGTGTCTGTGGATGTTTGTCTTCTTGTAGAGAAAGTTGTTTCACATTTATCACTGGTAAGTAGCTTTTAAATATTTTTTTAGTTCTTACCTTAAGCCAAACCCAGTTCACAAGTCTCTGGGTGTAACATTTATCCTCTTTCTTAAATATCAAATGTACTTATTTAATATTTTCTCATTTTGCAAAGCAAGGCAAATAGTTTTTTGCAAATAGCTTCTTATGTAAGATATTGGCATCAGGAACTTAACTTGTGTGCTGTTGAAAAAGCCTTTTTTTTCCAAATGTGTTGATGTTACACTAACCCAGATTTCTGTGTGTATTGTGAAATGTGAGAGGAGTGGGGACCTACCGTTTCAGGGTTTTCTCTGCTGTTACAAGAGGGGTATCTACAAACACCTATAAATGATGCAATTTCAAGGGGTTTGTGGTGAAGTGCATTATTGGAGAACATCATAAAGGCAAAACTATGACTGCCAAATAATCTGAATGCTAGCTTTTTCCCAAATAATGTCATATTGTTTCATATTCAACTACTCCATCCATTGTGCTCACCAGTAACTGCCATTACATCCCCAGTACACCACAAAGTATGTGTTATGGCCAGGACCTCTGAGAAGTGAGGGATGAGGTGCTCAGTGTGACAGATACCTCTGTGCTCCCTGCAGAGCAGTCGGGCATGGACAGGTCTGCACTTCTGTGTGGCTGAAAGCCAAACCAGGCACAAAGCAGGGCTGGCAGTGCATGTTCTTTCCCACATGGCTTCCTGGTGCTCTTCTACTTCTCATGAACACTCTTTCTTCCTCCTGCTCCGAGTTGATCTTTCTCTGGATTCTGTGCACATTCCAGTTCTTTTGTTGCTCCTGTGTGTCATCTTCAGTCAATTTTTATAGTCAGGATCTCTCTTTTGTTACTTTTCTGTTACTCTCTGAGTCCTCATCAGTGTTCTTCCAGCCCATCTTTTTCTCACTGTTTTTCTTTATCTCTCACTTGCTTGTTTCTGTCTCTGGCTCCTGGAGATGAGAAGCACCTCCGCTCCATGAAACACACATCAGCTCTTCAGTGCAGAGTAGGAAAGCACCTGGCCCAGCCAAAGCCCTCTGACCAACCTCCCTCATGTCTTTGAGAGGGTAGAGATGGCACACTGGATATCCTGGGCAGTGGCTCCATGCTGGAGCATCGTGGGCCAGTAAAAATTCAAGCAGCGTTGTTTACAGCTGCTGTCTGGTTCCCAGATCTTGCCAAAAAGAAATACTATATACCCTCTGTCCAAAACCCCTGAGCTGTAGCTGGTCCTGGCCGTGGCCAGGGAGAAGCAGTCCTGGCTCTGTAGATCATTCCTTCTCTCGTACTAACCATGGCACGACAGGTTCTGTGTGTGGAGCTCACATTTTATTTCACTTCAGATGCGTAAGAAGGGTTCCGTTCGAGGCACTTTGGCTGCGGACGTCTAGAGGAGTTCTCTGTAGGTTCTGAGGCAAAGCAAGCTGTGTAAGTCAACTGCTGGATGGAAAAGGAGAAGAGGGATTAATGTTCTGATGGATGGGAATTGCTGGCAGAAGTCATTCTAATAATCCACATAACATGTGTGATGTTGCCTTGCTCCTGCTCGATACTGGTGTGGTGATCAGCAGGTGGGACTGACCCGTGGTGCCCAGGGCACACCAGACAGGCACTGCTGCAGGTGCTCAGGCCAGGACAGAATTCCTGCAGTGTTGGCCACCTGCCCTGGTGCCTGATGCTTACCCAGTGCAGACACCTGAGGTGTGGGGCCTGCTGCTGCCACGGCAATGGCACTGGGCCCTGGCACGCGCCCCTGTCCTTCTGGGCACCAATTGGACACGTCGGCATCGCTTTGCTGCATGCACAGGAGCAGAGTGATCTGTGGCCTTGGTCCACATCACTTAGGGAACCTGTGGAGTGTCACTTTCCAACCACTTCCAGTTCTTGAAATCCAGTTCCACCCATTATTTATAGACACTAAACCATTTCTGCAGGAGCAGGTTCTCCAGGAGTTACAGGCTCTTGGTGCTTATGCCCAGCACTTTGGTGCTGCTGTTCCACACAGGCACTGTTGTAACACTGCTGGGAATCCCAGCCCAACGGTGCCAAATCCCACTGATCCGTGTGAGCTCCCCAGCGACGGGGGCAGCTCCCACCCGAGGACAGCTCCAACTGAGATTCCCTCAGGAGCCAGCATTGCTTTGGTGTGACTTGCTCAGTCCCGGTGGTGTTCCGACAACCCCGCCCTGGCTTTCCCTGGAGATAATTTCCCTGCCTGTTTGGAACTCCCTGTCTGAGGAAGGTGCTCATGTGGAATTTGTGTTTTCTCTCTCCACAGCTGCGTAACCAAGGCCAAGTGAGAGGAACGAGCGCTGCCAATGATGAGTGACGACGGGCGGATGCCGATGCCGGATCTCGGATGTGTGTGTGGGTGCATGACTCTGTATATAACTATACACGCACATGCAGACGGAAGGGGTGGTTACAGTGTCTCTGGGTGCTATACCTGTCCTAGCAAAGATTCCAAGGAAACTGCTTTCATTATGTATACCCCAAGCAAATAAAAATCAACTGAGTAGTGTCATTTAAAGGATGAATTTTGCTAACTGGTATGTTCATGAATGTCAATACTGGACCAATTTCTGCCCTACTTGTTTGTTTTTTTTTTCTCCTGTCCGAGTCATTCTGCTCTAACTCACCCATCTCTCATTGTAAAGAAACACTCTCAAACAAGTTAATTTCAGTTTTATGTCTTCCCTATGTGATGAGTTTTGGAATAGGAACAATGAATGTATTTATAGCTATTTATTTCTGGATTGTCATTATCCTATAGTCAAATCAGAAAAAAATTTCTATTAGTGGAAATTGGAAGACTTTTACTGCTGAATAAGTTTAACCCAAACGTTACCCACTCACTGATTTAAAAGAAAAAAAAAATCTTGTTTTATTGGACTTTTGTACATTGAAATGCTAATGGTTTTTCTTCATTAAAATTGGCAAGATTAAGGAAAAATGGCTTGTGATTTATAAAGTAATTGCAACTTGGAATTTTCCAGAAGCTGCTTTTTAGACAAGTACTCTGACAATACCAGTAGAGCATTTCCAGTGTATCTCAGTCCAGGCAGTGAGGAGGGGGACAGCCCTTCTCTCCAGGAGCACTCCTGCCTGGGCAGTGACTGTTTTCCAGAGCTTCCCTTTGGAAGCCATGCAAATGGTCTGGATTTCACATACAGCAATGGAATATAATTGTGATTTTAGCTCTTTTCATGTTGAAAATACACTTTGGGAGATGTAGACTTTCAGATATGATGAAAGTTTCAGTCGTAGCCCTGATGTGTTTCTATGCTGTTTGTGAGGGGCTGATGCACAAGAGCCCCTGGAGTGACACATCCCTCCTGTAGCAAACTCCATAGGGAAAAGGTCTTCAGTGTGTTTAAGGAACTATTCACAGCATATAACAGAGGGATATTATCCAAATGCTTGCTGGATTGGAGACGAAGTATTTTAAAAGCACTAGTTAGGTAAAGTTCTATTAATGCCTGGTTTCCTCCCAGCGTCGTCAGCAGGGCAAGCCTTGCATGCGCTCCCATCCTCGTATTCTGACACACAGCCAGGTGCATTGGAACCATTTTGGACCTGCTTTGCTCACAAAAGGAGGGATCTGATTTCCGTTACTCTCAGTGACAAAATGTTCCTGCTCTGGCAGGGTGGGCCAGGTGGGCCACGCACCTTGTCCTGGTGCTGCACGTGCCAGCACCGCCGCGCCTGCCCAGCGCTGGTGCTTCGCCTGCGCCATCGCACCCGCCCACCCTCCAGGTCCCACAGAGAAATGTGGTTTTGTTCCTTTCTGGGTTAGCAGTTAAGTGGCTATTTGTCCTGTACCACCAGGAGGTGGGATTGGTAAATACACACAGAGACACGGCACACACACACACAGGTCATGGATGTGAAGTGCACGTTCCCAAGAGGGCTGCACACCTGGAACCCAAGGGCTCAGATCTCCTCGGTGCTGGAGTTCGTGTCCCACCGTCGTTAATGTGTTGTAACACAGCTGGTGGGAAAGGGACCCTGTGACTTCCATGGATTTGGACTAGTTGTGAAAATTTGAGAGAACCTTGTAGTGAATGTACAATGTTTAGTTTCCTTTGGCAGTCTCTGGTGCGACTCACGGTAAAGCAGGCAATGAAATTTAATTAAATAAATTTGATCATAAAACTTGTCTCTTGTCTCAGGCATTGGCACTCACAGTTTGTTCCCGAGCTGGTGTCTGGGGTCCCTGAGCTGTGCAGAGGGGTGGGAGTGCCCAAAGGCCACACTCGGGGCTGCTCTGGGGCTGGGTTTGGTTTGGGAGTTCCAGCTGAGCATTGCACATGCCTGGAACCTCGATGCTCCCGAACTGCCACCGTAACAGGCTGGGCTGGCAGAGGTGGGATGAGGCGGCAGGAGGGGGCTGCAGGTGGGAGGTGCCTCCCACGGGCACTGGGGGTGCTGATGGGGGTCTGGGTGTCCCTCCTGGCTGGTCCCATTCCTGCTCTCTGCTCAGCACAGCCCTGCCCTCTGGGATGGGCCAGCTCCACTCTGGGGTTCTGCCTGCTCAGGTTGTGCAATCACCTGCTGCAAATGGAGACTTGTACGGCTCCTTTGGTAAATGCAGAATTGAATCCTTTCTTTACTACCAGCTTCTTTAGCTTCCAGATGGCAAACCAACAGGAAGCAATGGAAGTGCAACGTAGTTTTGTCATAATGGATATGTAAACGTGATACTTACTCACTGCAATAGACTGCTGTGAACCATATTCCAGCAGTAACCTTTGAAATCCATCACTTGACTGCACACAAGTGTGGTCTAAAAGGGACTTGTAAGGAATTTGTTTTTTTCCTGGAGGATTTTTAATTATTGAAAAGAAAGAGGAATGTTTTCTGTCTTTTGCCTTTATCTGTAGACTGAGAAATGTCAGAAAAAAATCTGTCAAGATTTTGGGTGTGTCAGGATTTTTCCACCCTAGGGCCTTTCTAAGTGTTCTCTGAGCAATCTCAAAATGTCCCATAAGACAACTTACTCTGCATTTCCAAACCTCAGTCATTCAGCCACGTTTAGGAGCTGCATCATGTACTTACAAGTGCAGTGCTGTGGTTTTATGGCAAATCTGAAGCTTGGGGCTGTGGCTGAGGTTTTTATTCAGTTCATGAAATTCAAAAGAGTCTTCTCCATTAAATTATATCTCGATAGGACATCAGGAAAATATTTCCTTTGTAGTTTTGTAACTTTGTATGAAAGACTTTCTACTTGCTTGAATTGATGTGGAAAATGGGTTTTAATCAACAGCATCTAATTGTCAATCAAGCAGAGATTATCCAGAGACTGATAGCTGCTGTCCCTGTCACTGGGGTGTTTGGCCACTGGGGACATTTTATTCTTGGGAGCCTCTTCTCCTCATTACCTGCTCTGGGCAGAATTCAGTGTGCAAATTCTACCATAAACAAAGTTCTGGCACTTGAAATAGTTTAAAAGATTATAATGGTAATGTGTCAAACCCAGGTTTTGGAGGCAGAGTTTCAATGACTTCCACCTGAGGCATCACCTGCATGTGACTTGAGTGAAATCCTGATAGTCCCGTGTAGGGATCCTGTGTCTCCAGAGCAGTGGCTGTTTGAGGTCCCAGCCCCTGGCAGTAAAGCTGGGACGCTCACTGGTGTGAGGGGCTGTGGTTTGCTTTGCGATGCACCTGCTGAGAGTCTGGAGGTATTTCTGCCACTGTGTTGTGCCTTTATTTGCTGGTACTTGTTCTGATACTTTTTCTTGTAGTCACTCTGTTTTGGTGTTCTTTACCCCAATTTTGCTAGATATGCTGTGTTTTTTCAAAACCTCTCAGCAGGCACCGGCTCAGCCCTGGCTGTGCTGCTGTTACCCCTTAGGGCCAGTATCTGCCATCCATGCTTCAGAACAGCCTTGGATTCCTCACTGCTGTAAGTGCGGAAAGGTCTAATTTAATTTTAAAATTTTATTTCCTCAGGTCGGAGAATTCTTTCCAGAATGCCACCTACCTCGATTCTTTAACTTTTCTCTCTGAATTTACATGGCTTTCTGGTTTAGCACTGCATATCCAAGGCACACAAGAAATTTGAGGTATTTGCTCAATCTGAATTTTGTAGAGCTTCTCCAATCCCAGCTAAAATCTCGATATGCTAATTTAACAGATTTCCTAGTTTCATAAGCTTGGGTTTAGCACCCTCTAGAACAGCACCTAATACTGTTGCTCCTTTTGCAAGAGTCTCTGTCTCCCTTGTTTCTCACAGATATTCAGTCCAAGGTAAATTAAGGGAACGTGATTATCAGGACTTTGAAAGACCCAGTAGTCACCAGCTAAAATGTACCACAAAAAGAACCCAGCTACGACAACAAGGGAAGTCCCTGAAAAAGGCTGGAAGCAAAATGACCATAATTGAAATCTGAAAGCAGCAACTTCATAGAGAAGTAAACGAAGAGGCGGCTCTTTGTAAATGATGATCTAAAAAGTGTTCTGGGTTGTAAGACCTCATTTCAAATGTATTCATTAAATAATATTTGAATCATTTAACAGTTTGAACTCTACTGCACTGCTAATATCTTCAGGGGATTTTTTTTTTCAGTAACAAAGACGCCTTTGTTCCCCGCTCAGTGCTTGGGCTGTGCCTTGGATATTAGCTGGAAACCTGATCGCCCGACATCGCTCCGAGGCTGCGAGTACAATATGAGTCGTCTGCAACCAGGATTAAATCAGGCCCTTTGTAGGGATGCTGAGGAGCCGTGATGATGGTTATGGACAGCAGGAGGTCGTTAACCCTTTGTGCCTCCGGCGGGGAGATGGGAGGTTTGGGGGAGGCTGCCGGCGAGGTGCAGGGCAGCTGGGGCAGCTGCGTGTACCAGCGAGTAGTGCCCGAGTAGTTCCTGCTGGAAAGCAAATAATGCCTTGCGTGGGGTAGGTGAAATCATGTTGCCTGACCCAGTGCTTGCTGCCTTGGGATGCCACTTCACCACAGTGTGTGGGCAGGGGCACTTTGGTTTAAATTGGAAAAGTCAGGACTGCGAGCCAAGGTTCAGCAATGGCTCAGGAACACACGTCATACTGTTAAATCTTGTGAACTAACACAATAAATAATAAACACAGGAGCAGCTTTATTTGCCTGGTGGCTTTGAGTAGTGGGCCCTGCGGTCTCAAGCATCCCTCTCACCCCAGGATGTGCAGTGTGCTGTCCAGCCGGGGGCGGAGCCCCAGGAACCACTGTGTCCCCCAGCCCTGAGGGCAGGAAGGGGATGGGTGGCAGGAGACAGTGGAACATGGGGGAAGCTCAGACACGCAGCCCTGGGGGAGCTTCTCCAGGAGAGACCAACCTGGTCCCTGCTGGGTGACTTCCTGCAAACCAGTGACCTCCAAACCTGCATCCAGCAGCTCCAGCACCATCCTGCTCTGCTAGGGCAGGCAGGCGCTGTCCTGCCGGTGAGGGAGGGGGAGGATGGGACCACAGAGTGTGAAGTCCCATGGGATGGCAGGATGGAGAAAGGAAGCACCAAGGCAAGTGCTCTCATGAAGCTAATGCTTAGGGGAAATTAAGTCATCAGGACTTTATAAAATAGCCTCTGGCTCTCTACTTTCACAGTAGTTCAATTTATAAGATGATGAAAAATGAATTAACTTTGGTGGTTTGCTGGCATCACCCACAGTGAGCCAGACTTTCCACATGCTCAAAGATCGTTCCTGGTCCACCACGCTTACATAAATTCCCACCTGGTTCAATTTTAAGAAAACAGCAGAACAAAGTTGGTCATACAAACTCCACCATAAAACACCGAGAAGAGTTAAACACCGATTAGTGGTACAGAGAGGTGCTATTTTTTCTTTATGCTTCACTGAGCTATTTTAGGAAACATAAAACTTTTACTGTTCCTGTAACCAAACTAATTCTGTTGTGCTGTGTACATAAAATTTCTTTTTTTTTTCTTTCCCCTCCTCAGTGAAATGTATGATCCTACAGTATGTGTTTTTGAGATGGGAATTTGAAGGGGAAAAATAAAAGCCCAAAGCAGTGCACTGCAGTGCAGTTATCATGAATGGGAAAAAATGCTTTAGGGTTTCCTGTGTTTTTACCAATGTACAATCTCAGTGTTGGATGATTTTAGCACTATCCTGTTTTTCAGTCATTGAAGTTAGAAAAGTTTAAATGTGTTCAACATGTACACCAAAGTGTGTCCCATGTGCTGCAAAAGTTTCCACCTAAGTGGCACGAATGGGACCCAATATACTTAGTGAAAAAAGCTCTTTGCAGGAATGGAAAAACCTACTGATATTGTGAAAATATCACAATCCATACTAAGAGACCTGAAAATTGAAACAGGAAAGATACACAGCTACAGGTTGGAGTGGTGTAAAGAAACTAAACCAGGTGACCAACCTTGCAAAACAAACAAACAGGAAAATCCTAGTAAAGGGCTGAGTTACCAAAATGCTCTAGATCCCTGCAGGAAGTGACTGTGATGGTTTTAGTCCCTTAACCCAGATTACTCAGTTATGCATTTTTTAAAATGGGAAGCAGGCAAGTGTCTGAAGGAGTTTGGTTCAAACTTTGCACAAAGAACATTGTTGGCAAAACTAAGCATAAAATCTTTACACTGGCAAGGTGAACTTCTCAAAAACTGAATGCAAATCAGGTTTCACAGATGAAATTGTCTTTAATCTTAATTACAAACCAGTCACTTCCAGACACTCAAGCAGGGAAGGACAAGGAGTGACAGAGGTCGGATCCCTGGAAGTCCCTACCCGTCGCCTTTTAGCACAATGCCCGGTGCCTCCCAGCTCAGCCGTATGACTGTGCTGGGAGCAAACCCCTGGGAGCCCAGGAGGCACACGTGTCACAGCCCTTTGCCCACAGCAGGTCTTCCTTCTGTTCTCGGGAGCTAAAGCAGGTGCACATTGACAGACACCATCCCCTCTGGAGCGATGCCTTCCCTTGAGAACCGGCTCCGTGCTTGCTGCACTCGCAGGCTCATCTAATAATTTTACGTTTGCCTCCTGCATCAGTCCTGCCCCCACCTTCACTGCAGTTTTGAGAGAGAGGAGCTGTAATGGTTTCCCTAAACTGTTCCAGGCAGAAATGCTGAAAACTTTCCCGCCAGAGTTGGAAACCTCTCCTTCAAAATATTCCAATTCCGTTCACTTAATATCTCTGCTAGGAGCAGAAATCCCTGCCAAGAGAAGCCCATCAGCTCCTTTGCAAAGTGGCTGTTGGGAGCCCCTGCTCCAGCGACAGGTCCCATACCTGGTGCTGTGGGGACCCGGTGGTGTTGGTGTGGTTGCAGGTGGCACCACAGAGGACGAGGAGCAGCTGCAACCAATGTACCTGAAGCTGCACTAAGGGCAGGGCACCTTTAGAGAGCTGGGAGTGCAAACACCACAGAGAACTGAGCTTGGTTTTGCTCCATGGCAGGGTTTAAGAGGCTCTTGCTAAGGGCTGGCTGGGTTAAAGTGTCTCGAGCATATGGGCTTATTTTGTGCAGTTTCTGTGGTGGTTTCTTCGTTGGATTCTCAGTGGTAATGAGCCCACACAGTTGATTGCTGCAGGGAGAAAAAAAATCATTCTGAATAGGTTTGCTGAATAATTATGAACTGAGCTGAACTCTTACATTTGCTTACTAATTGTATGGTCCGTGATGTTTTATGTATGATGCATTCATTTTGTTAAAAAGGAATTTTTTTCTTTTTTTGCTGAGCAGCAACTTTTCTCAGTGCAAGTTAAACTGACACAGTGGAAAGAGCTGGATTAAAGTCTGATGAATTGATGTTGTTTGAATTATTTTTTTAAAAACATCAGCCCCACCATTTGGTTTTCAGAGCTTGCAATATGAAACCTAAAATTGTGCTATTGTCTTGAGAGTTGAAATAAATGAATCCCCTCAACTTTGGATTTGGCAGGCACAATTACTATTGTTAATTTAGAAAATAATCCCCTGCAGCTACAACTATTTAAATAATGCCTTTCCCTGCTTCCCCGAAGATGACCAAAACCCAAAGACTGAAAGTAAAAATGTTTTATAAAATACACTTTTCACTGCTCACTACAATCGAGAGGCTTCCTTCTCCTTGGCTGGGGACTGGGGCCCTTTGTGACGCAGGGGACCCGACAGTGGGACAGCGGGAGCTGCGGGGCACGTTGGCAGCCCCAGGGCGAGCTTTAGCCCAGACAACATCTCAGGTTAGAAACAGGGGCTCAGTCGCCTTCCCACATGCAAGCTGGCAGAACTCTGTAGCGGGTGTCGGACCTCGCCATTCCAAGCAACTCATTGCTTTCACTGTCAGAATATTTAGGCTGAAATTATATCCATATTTGCCACTGTCCAGTTATAGATACGGCCTGGCTCCCACTGAAGTCCACAGAAGGAGTGGTGCTGGGGGAGCTGGGCCAAGCCATGGGTGGACAAGCCATCGGGATTTCTCTCTCCAGCGAGCCTGCGGCGGCCCTGGAGGGTGCGGCGCCCGTGCTCCGAGAGGAATCGGGGCAGCCGCCCCCGGCGTCTCCGCCGAGCCCGAGACGCCCCCCGCCCCCGCCCCTGTCCTTCCGCGGAAGGAACGCGCGGCACTCGGCTCGCCGTCGGGGCGGACCGGGGCTCTGCCCGGCGGGGGCGGACCGGGAGCACGGAGCGTGGGGCGGAGCGGGGACTCTCTGCCTGCCGTCTGGGCGGACCGGGGGCACGGACCGGAGGCGCGGACCCGAGGTGCGGACCGGGCGCACGGAGCGGGGCTCTGCCCGGCGGGCGCGGCCGGGGCCGGGCGGGCGGCAGAGGGCGCTGTGCCCGTTCGGAAGAGCCGCTCCGACGGCGCGCACGCAGGCGCAGAGGGAGCCCCGGGCGCGGGGCCGCCCCTGCCCCGGAGCCGCCGTGGGTGCGGGGTCTGGGTGCGGAGCCTGGGTGCGGAGCCCCGTCGGCTCCCTCCTTTCCTCACTTTCTCCTTCTCTCCGTGGCCACCGTCCCCGTAGCGACGGGCGAGACGTCCCCTTCGTTCCTTTGTGCCACGGCCGGGCCGCGCGTGCTTCATTCTCCACCCCGGTGCCGGCCCCGCAGCCCGAGTCCCGCGCACTACCCCCCCCTTGTCACTTCGCTAAGTAATAATTTCCACGTCCAATTCCATTTCTTCGCCAGTTCTGAAATCTCCAGGCCATCAGCAAGGAGGATAGTTCACATGAAAACTAATTACACAAAATCAATATTTAATCACAGCGCAGCATCCTGATCCTGCAGAAAAAAAATCCCGTTAAAACTCTCCTGCCATATACAAACGCTCCTCGGCCGCTTATTTATAGATCTCATTTTTTTTGGTGGGAGCAATTTTCATTACTATTTCTTTAAGCTATCGACATGTGCAGCCGCGAGCACCTGAAGCGCCGCGTCCCGCCCGCGGTCTGTGACCCTCCAGGCCTGCGGGTGTTTGTCCCTCCGAGGGAACCGGGCTGTGACCCCCCCGCTGCCGCAGTGCCCGCTCCCTGCGCGGCTCCAAGCGGTGCCCGGCTCGGGGCTGGCAGGGCCGCTCCTGCTCC